GAGGGGAGGAGGAGGAGGAAGGAGAAAGGAGGTGGAGGGAGGAGGAGGAAGGAGAAAGGAGGAGGAAGGAGGAAACTCTGGCTTAGGGTGACACCAGCTTCACCCCCCCAAGCCCAGCTCAGGGCCCGGCCCCGTTAAGCCGGAGCTGCCCCCCAGGAGCCCGGGCTCTGCTCCCCCTCCTGGGGAAAAGGCCCCAGCTCTGCCCCTCTCCCAGCAAAGCCGAGCTCAGGCCAGGCCTGGCTCAGGGGTCCACGGGCTGAGCACCAGCACCAGCACCCTCAGAGCCACAGGGTCCATGGCAGGCTCTGATCGAGCCAGGCTCAAAGCAGGCTCAAGTCAGGCTGAAACCAGGTTGAAACCAAGCTCAAGCCAGGCTGAAGCCAGGTTCAAGCCAAACTCAAGCCATGTTGAAGCCAAACTCAAGCCATGTTGAAGCCAAACTCAAGTCAAGCTCAAGCCACGTTGAAGCCAAACTCATGCCAAGCTCAAACCAGGTTCAAGCAAAACTAAACCAAGTTGAAACCAGATTCAAGCCAAGATCAAACCAAGCTCAAGCCAGGTTGAAGCCAAGTTCATGCCAAGCTCAAGCCAAGTTCAAGACAGGTTGAAGCCAAGTTCAAGACAGGTTGAAGCCCAGCTCAAGACAGGTTGAAGCCCAGCTCAAGACAGGTTGAAGCCCAGCTCAAGACAGGTTGAAGCCCAGCTCAAGACAGGTTGAAGCCCAGCTCAAGACAGGTTGAAGCCCAGCTCAAGACAGGTTGAAGCCCAGCTCAAGACAGGTTCAAGCTAGATTCAGGCCAAGCTCAAACCAACTTCAAGACAAGCTCAAGCAACGTTGAAGCCAATCTCAAACAAAGTCAGCTCAAACCAAGCTCAAGCCAGGCTGAAGCCAAGCTCAAACCAGGCTGAAGCCAAGCTCAAACCAGGCTGAAGCCAAGCTCAAACCAGGCTGAAGCCAAGCTCAAACCAGGCTGAAGCCAAGCTCAAACCAGGCTGAAGCCAAGCTCAAACCAGGCTGAAGCCAAGCTCAAACCAGGCTGAAGCCAAGCTCAAACCAGGCTGAAGCCAAGCTCAAACCAGGCTGAAGCCAAGCTCAAACCAGGCTGAAGCCAAGCTCAAACCAGGCTGAAGCCAAGCTCAAACCAGGCTGAAGCCAAGCTCAAACCAGGCTGAAGCCAAGCTCAAACCAGGCTGAAGCCAAGCTCAAACCAGGCTGAAGCCAAGCTCAAACCAGGCTGAAGCCAGGCTGAAGCCAAGCTCACCTTCTGCGCCCCCGAGAAAGCGTGGTAGAAGCAGGACACGTAGGTCATGATGGCCTTCTCATCCGGCCTCAGCGTGCCCACTATATCTGCGCAGGAGAGAGGCAGGAGAAGGGCTGAAGCAGCAGGTCCTGAGCCCACCATGGCCATGCAGCGGAGCAGAGCGAGCCGGGACCCACACCACAGCTCCTCATGGGCTGGGGCCTGAGCCTGGGCTGGAGGGGCCTTCAGCAACGCCTGGGTCTTGGGTTCCCAACGAGGGACCAGCTGGTTTCACCCATAGGGTCATGGGATGGTTGAGGTGGAAGGGCCTTCAAGACCATTTAGGTCTTAGGCTTCAATTTGGATGTCCCAGTAAGGGACTGATTTCACCCATGGGATCATGGAACGGTTGAGGTGGAAGGGCCTTCAAGACCATTTAGGTCTTAGGCTTCAATTTGGATGTCCCAGTAAGGGACTGATTTCACCCATGGGATCATGGAACGGTTGAGGTGGAAGGGCCTTCAAGACCATTTAGGTCTTAGGCTTCAATTTGGATGTCCCAGTAAGGGACTGATTTCACCCATGGGATCATGGAACGGTTGAGGTGGAAGGGCCTTCAAGACCATTTAGGTCTTAGGCTTCAAGTTGGATGTCCCAATACGGGACTGATTTCACCCCTAGGATCATGGGACGGTTGGGTTGGAAGGGCCTTCAAGACCATTTAGGTCTTAGGCCTTAGTTGGATGTCCCAATACGGGACTGATTTCACCCCTGGGATCATGGAATCATACAACAATTTGGATTGGAAGGACCTTCAAGGTCCCAGCAAGGGACAACGGACCTGATTTCACCCATAGGATCATGGAATGGTTTGGGTTGGAAGGGACCTCAAAGCTCCTCCAGTTCCAACCCCCTGCCACAGGCAGGGCCACCTTCCACCAGCCCAGCTTGCTCCAGGCCCCGTCCAACCTGGCCTCGAAGCCCTTGAGACCCATCTGAGCTCCCAAGGCTCGCTGGGCAGCTTTGGGAAGCTCCTGCCACCCCCGTGCCCGTGGCCTCATGGTGTTTGAACCCCCATGAAGGAGCTGAGGTCTGGTCCCAAGCCAACACGAGACACAAGGGCCCCTCTGGAAGAGAAGACGCATGAGTGGGAGATGCTGCAAGTGGGCAACGTCAGAGCCAGATGGACACAGCCACCTCCTGGTACCTTCTGGGCCCCCGAAAAGGCATGGTAGAAGCTGGACACATAGGTCATGATGGCCTTCTCGTCGGGGCGAGCTGTGTTGACAATGTCTGCAAGTGAACAACAAGGGTTAGGGGTGAGATGGGGCCGGTGGCAGCCGGCCCTGGTGCTCCAGGCTGGGCCTGGAGACCAAGCTCCTCCTTAGGCTGGAGTCCCACCACTGGGCAGCTCTTAAAAGCCCACATTAAGAGACCTGTATAGGCAAGAAGAGCGTTAGAGAGGTCAAACCTTGGTGGTCGAGCGCACCCCAAGCCAAGGTGGCCACCAACGTGGCTCTTCCATGGTGGCCGATGGAGCTTACCCTCAGCATCCAGCATCTTGGGGATGTCCAGGTACTTCTCGGCCACCTCGAAGGCGTTGTTGAGGTTGGTGACGGGGTCGTCCTAAAGACAAGGGTTGGAGCTGCTGAGAGGGCCGGGAAGAGCCGCGCTGGGATCCCGGCTATCCCAGCCCCAGGTCCCACCTTCCGGAGCTTGTCGTACTCGATGAGCTCCGGTCTGTGCCGATGGATCAGCGCGTTGAAGGCCAACCCGTCCTTCCAGCTGGAAGAGAAGAGGGGAGGTGAGGTCCAAGATCCCACCCGTGGATGTAAAGGAGGAAGGAGCAAGAGGGAAAGATCTGCTGGGGAGGAGGAGATGCTGCAGGTGGAACCCAGGATGAGCCAAGTTGTCCTCTCGGAGCCATGCCAAGAGCTCCTTCCTTGGAGGAGGACTCGGACAAGGGCTTCCAACGGGAAGAGCTGGATGAGAAGCGGGAGGAAATCCCTCACTCTGAGGGTGGTGGGACACTGAGTGAATGGAGGAGGTTCAGCTGAACCACCCCTGGATGGGTTCAAGGCCAAGCTGGAGCAACCTGCCCTACGGAAGGTGTCCCTGTGGGATGGACCTGGAGGAGCTTTCAGGTCCCTCCCCATCCCAGCTGTGCCACAATTCCATGGTCTCCAAGGAGCCCGGGAGCTGGTGGAGGAGCGTTACCTGATGTGGAAGTTCTGCACGTTGACGTTCTTGTACGGAGCCGTCTTCCTCTGGCACCACAGCAGCAAACCCTCCTTCGCCGAGGTCTCTGCAAGGGGACCTCATGATCCACCCGGAGCAGCACCGGGAAGCACCGGATCCCCCTGGATCCCTGCCCTTACCTTCCACCGAGATGTCCTGGATGGCAAACCTGAGGATGATGGTCCAGATCATGCCCAGCGTCATCTTGGCGTTGCCATCAACGATCTCTGGAAGCCAAAGGAGGAGAAACCAAGGCTGGATGGTGGCACCCAACGGGTCGTGGGCAACACCAATGGCCCCGTGGAGACCCCGTGGTTGTTCCTTAGGGATTGGTGTTGGATTCAGCACCTTTGGTGGTGACGGGGATGGTGGGATTGAGCAGCTCTACGGAGCCAGGCTGAGAAGAGAAGGCTCTGGAAGAGCTTGGAGCAGCTCCAGTGCCTAAAGGGGCTCCAAGAAACCTGGAGAGGGGCTTTGGACAAGGGATGGGATGAAGAGAAGCAGCTTCCAACGGGAAGAGCTGGATGGGATAATGGGAGGCGGTTCCTCACTCTGAGGGTGGTGGGACACTGCGGGGAATGGAGAAGGTTTGGATGCCCCATCCCTGGAAGTGCTCGAGGCCACGTTGGAGCAACCTGCCCCTTGCTCGGAACGGGATGAGCGTGAAGGTCTTTCCAAACCCATTCCATGATTCCACGCTGCTGCTCTCCAGCAGGAACCTTTCCAACCCCAGTCTCCCCACGCTGGTGGCTCCTCGTCCTGGTTCCTCTTCCCACCACATCCCACGCTGACGGTCCAGCTCATCCCAACTTCCCAAACCAACCAGCCCTTTCCCAAAGCCCTTCCTTGAGGAAGCACCTGGGCCCTTCCCCAGCCTTGAGCCACCCGGAGCTTTGGGAGGAGCTCTTGGGATGAAGCCAAGCGCCGCGGGGCTGATCCATGGGAGGCTCCACCACACCCTCAGCGGTGGAACGTGCCGGGACACGCTCCGGTTTCGGGAATCACCCCACCGAGCCAGCGGAGAAGCCACCTCCAGAACTGGTTCCACAAGGGGACCCGGTGCCAAACCACCCCCGAGCTCCAGGGCAAGGCCTTGGGCTGCTCAAGCCAAGAGCGAGCGGTCCCAGCCCGGGAAGTCCTCTCCTGCAGCTCCATGTGGGAATTCCAACCGGCTCCCAGGGGTTCCCATGTGAAGCCAATGGCTGCAACGCCCCGTTCCCAAAGAGCCAAAGCACGGAGCTGGTTTTCCATCGGGAGGGACCAAATGGAGGCAGCTGGAGCTGGGAGGCCCGGGACCGAATTCCTCCTCGAATGGGAGGAATTTGGGGCTTTTCCAAGGGGAATGTTCCTCCTGCCAGCACGGAGCTGGGCGAGGGATGGTGCTGGAACACCGTGGCATGGTGCTGATAGACGTTAGGGGTGATCCATGCAGGAAGGCAGCCAGTGGGGGGGGGATTCAAGTGGAATGCCATGGAAT